CAGAACACGGCCACACAGCCTGGAAGACCCACACCAGCCATCATATGCCGGCCGTGAAAGCCTTTGACAATACAAAGCACATTGTGTTTGTTTCATTCCAAATCCATTGTGGTGGTGTATAGAGCCAAAGATGTTAGAATTGTGTCGATGTCCCAATATTTCTGGAGCTGACTGTAACTATTTTTTGGATGGGTTTGCTATCATAAATGGGACCCCCACGGCCTTTGAATTTAATGGTTGTTTCTTTCACGGCTGCCCCGTCTGCCACGCAGCAAATGCCTTCAACAGCTTGCTCGATTCGACCTACGGGGCTCTGCACTACCTCACTCGGGTTAAAGAAGAGCATCTCAGGGATCTGGGTTATGCTGTGCGCAACATCTGGGAACACGAATGGGTTGCCTTGTGGGAGACTAACACATCTTTGAAGCAGTTTCTAGTTGAGAATAAGTTCCCAACTCCTTTGAATCCACGAGATGCATTTTTTGGTGGTAGAACAAATGCTACATGCCTGTACTACTAACCAAAATCTGGGGAACAAATCTTATATTAGGATTTCACCAGTTTGTACCCCTTCGTGAACAAGAACAAGGAGTACCCGATTGGCCATCCACAAATCATCTATCAAAGCTTTGGGGACATAAAACAGTATTTTGGACTTGCTAAAGTTAAAGCGTGCCCACCAAGGAACCTCTATTTCCCAGGCCTACTCCATAAATCTGGGGGTAAATTAATGTTTAGTCGGTATGCAACCTGCACAGAAAAGCAGCAGGTTGCTCTGTGTAAACACAGTACTGAAGGAAGAGCCCTGACTAGGGCATGGTATACAGTTGAACTGAATGCGACTTCAGGAAAAGGTTACAGAATTGCAGAAATCTGAGATCTGGCATTTTGAAAGAAAGACAGACATGTTATTTTCAGGTTACATTAATACGCATCTCAGACAAAAGCAGGAGGCCAGTGGTTACCCTGACTGGTGCAAAACAGAACCGGATAAAGATCAGTATATTCGGGATTAGGAAAAGATGGAAGGTGTCTGCTTACAAAGTGAGCATATTGAAGTAAACCCTGCTAAAAGGCAGGTAGCCGAGCTCTTTTTAAACTCACTGTGGGCTAAGTTGGGGCAGAGCACCAATCACACGACGACATCTGTGGTGACAAACCCTGAGGAATTATTCAAATATCTTTTTGTGCCCTATTACGAAATTTCCTCATGTGAGTTTGTGGTCACAGAGACAGCAGTTATGACATGGAAAACAGCCAAACACCATCCAACCAAATCCACATGTACAAACACATTCAGTGCCAGTTTTACAACAACTTACGCACGGCTGGAATTATACAGGCTACTGGAGGGCTTGGGTGAGTGGTGTCAGTATCATGACACCGAGTCTGTCATTTTTATCAGTAGAGAGCAGGCGTGGACACCATCATTAGGTGATTATTTAGGCCAGCTGATGAGTGAGATCCCTCCAAACACCACGATCACTGAGTTTGTGGCAGCAGGTCCCAAAACATGTGGATATGCTTTGTCAAATGGGGAGACGGTACTAAAGGCGAAGGGGCTTACGCTAAGCAGTGCTAATTGTGACAAGGTTAATTCTGACAGCTTGAAAGACTTGGTAGATGATTACTGTCTGTCTGGGGAGGAGGGAAAGAAAGAGATCAAGGCAGAGCAACCGGGGATTGTTAGGGTTAAGAAACAGTGGGCACTAGAGATGCGGGTACTCAGAAAACCTCTAGAAGTAGTATGTAATAAAAGGGCACTCCGGACTGAGGATTACTGTACACTACCTTACGGCTATTAGGCGTGATGGAAACATTGTACAGTTTGTACACCCTTTCTCTTGTATTATAAGCGGGCCTCCAATTCTGGCAAATCCTTTTTTATCAAACAAATGTTAGAACATGGAGATGCTGTGTTGTCTCAAATGCCTCAAAATACTGTATGGTTTTATAGTTGTTGGCA